AACACAGGAACTTACGGTGTGGTACACGCGATTGCGCACGACGCAGGCCACACGAAGACTAAACACAAGACGTCCCAATTGGGACGTATTTGAGTATTCACAGCGCGAGCGCTTATAACATATCTGCTTTTGTTTTTATATAATATCATTGGTCACACCAAAATAAGGACAAGGCGATGCAACCATCGGATGCAATCGCTCGTAGCTATCAGCCGAGTTGTTTAAACTTGGCACTCACTTTATTGCATGCATTGTCGTGATAAGTATGTTATAGCCCTACTTAAGGAACGCCTTATTATATGTTTTTGACATTTCGTACGTGGTCAATGTTGGTGGAATTATACTCAAATACTCGCACTGTAGCTAAGTCCTAAAATGTACAGTAAAATAAAAAAAAACCATGTGTATGGTTTTCACAAACTAAAACTCTATTCATCGTGTTATTAATATGTAGTACCGAGACAGTTATGAATATGATCCCAAATAGAAATAGGTCAGGTATTGAAATGTTTGATCATCGATTTAACACATCCATATTAATTGTGCTCTAATTTTAGATTTTAAATAGGCAGTTAGACATAGCAAATTGATTACTTTGGAAATGGTGAAAAGCAGTTTATTTTTATGAAGATTTAAAAGAGTAGAATATAAAACATTTTTGCAATAAAATCCAATATATAACTTAATAAAAACACATTCTTTTTTCCCATTTATTTGAGCCATTCACCCCTATATTAATTTTTAGAAATTATGGTTACTATACAAATAGACAAGAAAAATTGGTTGTTAATTTGCATTATCGATTGGAGACGGTAAAGACACAGAATCGGCTGCGGCTGCGTGGTATCTACGAGAAATATGTATTTATTATGATCATTAACAAACATAACACTACACTTTCACTCATTCAATATTAACATACGATTTCCTTCATTATTTCGTGCTTATGAATTACTAGCTTTCCGCCCGCGGCTTCGCCCGCGTGGAATTTTGTCTGTTACAGAAAAACCTTATCGCGCGCGTCCCTGTTTCAAAAACCGGGATAAAAACTATCCTATGTTCTTTCCCGGGACTCAAACTATCTCTATGCGGACAATGTTCGTTCTCCATACATTGTTCGCCTAAAGAACCAACAATTTTGACATATTACTACCCGAAAGCGAAATAATACGATTCTGTGTGTAAGAACAATGATTCCTGATGGACACTTGCCATAAAATTAATGATTAAGAATATTAAATCACAGCGATTTTATAATATGTCGTTTATGACAACATGGCGTCTAATGTATTGTGTGAATGTATGAACACCGATTCGCGAAAAATGTTTTGTATTGTCGTCACGCCGAGTCGCAGCCAAATAGTATAAAATAATAGAACAAGTTTTAGAAATACAACTCGGCATTCCACTTTTACAATATGCCCACATACATGGACCTATAAAAAAAGTCGGACGGAGTCTCATCAACAAAATACTGTGACATTAGGATACACCAGCTTGCCTGTACGTACAGGCCGGCACGCACACATTCACACCCTGTTACACCACTTCGAGAGCAAACTTCACACAGTTGACACATTTAAGCAGCGAAAAAACAACACGAATACGACATGTCTTGTGTGATGAAATTGTGTAAAAACCGTTCTGTTCGAACAAACAAAAATTAAGGAATCACATTTCACAGGACAGACAGACAGACAGACAGACAGACAGACAGACAGACAGACAGACAGACAGACAGAGTTACTTTCGCATTTATAATATTAGTTGGGATGGGATTTCACATCGAATTCGGGAGCTTTTACCTTGTGGTGCTATACTCGTAGCATAGTTAACAAAGTTGTTATACTTATTACCTTTTAATGCTGTTCTTTTTAGTGTAAACTAAAAAGAACTCTTCTGGGTCTAATTTAATTTAATATGTATTATTTTGAAGTGTGTATTTACATACACACTTTAAAATTAGACCCAGAAGAGAGCTTGCAAAGACTCTACCTATAAAATCAACGAACTCTTTAATCCCCAAACGATTAATTAAAATCAATAATTTCAATCAAAATTTGAATGTTTTGTATGTAAATTATTTAATTTAATTTATTTTGGAAAACCTTGGGGGAGGCCTTTGTCCAGCAGTGGACGTCATTTGGCTGAAACGAACGAACGAATTTATTTTCTCTACGAAACTCGCGTCAGAAAAGGGCTTGAATCCAAAGACAAACAGGTTATAATTTGATAATGAATTGATGTAAGTACCTATCTTCCAAAACCGGAAGACGGATGCTCTACCGTAGTACGTGACACTCCATGGTACCTACAGCTACAGTCAATGATATTTAATTATTAAACATTAAATTAATTTACAATGTTGATCTGGTTGGTGATTCACTAACCTGTAATGAAGGAGCAGGTTTATTATCAAGGTTGATGCAGTATCTTATAGTGCGTTATTGTTATAAAACTGTTATAATGTTCCAACTACAAGAAAGAATAAAGACTGCGTACGAAATAAAGGTAAAAAAAAGTAGTAGAGCCTACAATGAAAAATTAGTGGAAACAAAATTGAAATTGAAAGAGATATCACAAAAATCTATAACTTTGATTTTGTAATCCTTGCCAAATCATTCATCATTTCGTGGAATTCTCACTTCAATTATTTACCAAACCAATCAAAGGTATAAAGAATCACTTTAATAATTTATCAACGTAACTTACGGTTCTATAGTAAATATTTGTAAATTTAGTTCCAACGTAGTATTAAATAATCATTTCATTAAAAATATTGATAGCGTGATCAGATGATGAAACTTATTCTCAGAGGGCACAATATTTTACCTTGTGTAGGTACTAAATATCGATTTTATAGCAATTATAGCTTAATTGATTGCGTGATTTACAGTTTGATGAAAGGTGACGACCTAAAATTCTAGAAAATTGTTGGATAGAAATTTTTGACGCGTCAGATAATAAAAAGTATTATCTAATTAAGATTTTCTTTTATAATTTCTTATATCAAATATATTTTTTTTAATTTTAACATAATTCTAATTATTATTCACGCTACAAAATTGAAAATACTCGTAGTAAGAGTTTACAACACTTCTGAAAGTTCTTTTCAAGTTATTCACAAAAAATGCTTTATTTAATCATAATCATAATCATTTATTTATTGCTTCATAAGTGTACATAGGTGGTGATCTTAAACTTAGTCTCAACTTATGACCCTGTAAGGGTGTTGCAAATCTTGTATCGTAGGTACATTACTAAATATTCTACAATAGTTAGTAATAATTATTAATATTGATAAATTATAAAATTAATTAGTTTACATAATTTTACATTACAATTAAAATACAATAATGTTTCTCCATACCTATTCATACATAATTTTCATCATCGCATCCTACTCAAATTATAGAACTCCTGAATACTATAAAGACATTTTGATATAAGGAACTCTTTTAGCTTGGCCTTGGCTTAGAATAATGAGTTTTTTTCAATATTTTTTAAATAGGTAGGCAGTTTATTATAGACTACTATGGACATGTGGTAGACTCCTGATCTTACCAGGTGAAGCTTAGTGTCGGGTAATGCTAATCTATCTTTGTATCTTAAGTTACGGGGTGCTGAATATTGTTCTTTTGCTTGAGAGTAAATAATTTTATTCTCTCTGACAAATTTACATAGACCTAGGATATAAATTGATGTTAGTGTTAATATTTTTAGTGATGTGAAGTGCTTTCAGTTCAGAATTTTCAGAATCAGTTGGTCTATAGAAAGAAGATTTTATCACTAAACACTATTGATTATATTTTCAGTGCTTACAAATACAAATATTAGTATTGTTACTGAAAATCGTTTGTACCAAGCAAATGACTATTTATTTATAGCATAACATAAGCACAATGCGAACATAAAAATCTACGTATTTTATTCCCAAGAAGAGACGGACGCTCTCGCGGCCTCGACAATCTTGACGTTTTATTTGGGCGCCGCGACAATGCAATGCGGTGAGCGTCTGTAACCAGAGCCGGTTAGCAGCTAGCAGCTAAATACACGTTAGGTTGCAGCTACTTCTCACAACCACGCCAGCCTGTTTTATAAACAACGTCACGATAGCCATTCATCCGTAAAGCCGTGGCCATACTGGTTGCTGTTGTCTTGCATTTAACACCCAAGTTCGTTTGAAAAACATGCCAAAATCGAATTATGCTAGGGTGCAGAGTTCCATACAATTTCACGTCGCATTTTGTGCTAAGTAATTACTTTATCCTTAAAACTTTTCATACTAAAACAACAACGAAACTGGCACAGCGCTTTTCAAGAATCACAACTTTTTGGCAGAGCTTCCTTGTATTTTCATTTCCGCTAACAATCTCGTTCTAAGTTCACATCAAGTGCTACGAAATCTCTAATCTGTAACGCCGTAGCGTAGCGGTGTCTACACTAGACAGTCTTGGCAAGGTGCCTCTGTATTTTCGAAACCGGAAAAACATTAAAGAATTTAATTTTGTTCATCCAATTTCTAAATGCAATCTTTTTTCTCTTTTGTCTCTGCATCATACTAATTGGTATTCAGTTAAAGTAGGAAGCTATAAGTTTCAATCAACAATCTAAAAGTCAAAATCGGTGATATCATTGAATCAACATAGCTATTTACATAAGATAGTACTACCAGTAAGGTCAAGAACTCAATATACTTACAGCAGCCGCATAAAAATTCCAGAACCTCACTTTATACGCGTAAACACAACAGTCTTATGGGTGAAGCTGCATTTAGGAAAACAGGTTAATATTTAGGTTGGTATTTATTTACAGTTCTTAACCTGATATTTACAATGAATAAAGGTATCATACAAAACAATAAACTGAGAGCATAAACTCCATACGCGGAATGTGTTAATGTGTTCGATATTGACTTTTAAAATAAATAGGGAAAACAATATTATACAAATACGTACATCCAAATTGAGCTGTTCTAAAAAAATATGTTTTGTCCGCAGAAAATGGTTGGAAGAAATAGCATTGGCAAGCAAAAAAGGCCGCAAGCCTTCACTTCTGCGCGCCATGGCCAAAACCTTCTGGAGAAGCTACGCGCCCTCTGGCATTATGTTCCTCATCCAAGCCCTGTTCCTCAAGTGAGTACCATCCTTTTGGCATCGCCATGACAAGAATACATTAAGCTTGTTTACGATTATGCCACGTTTTTAGCATGTTACGTAATACAAAAGACGCAAGTAATAGCAGTACATGCCTTATGTGTCATAAAAAGTCATGACACAGGTACATGATTCAAGTTAATTAGAGCTTCAATTTATTTTATTTTTCTCATGATACAATGACCGATGCAGCGTTAGTGGGCAATTTATTTAAATTTTTGTACCGTAAGCTTGTAAGTATTCACTTGATCGTAGTTCTGAAATGTTATGTGGATATTTGTAACAACTGTACCTATTGTAAAGTAGAAGGGACCTACTGAGAAGGGCGAATAAATATTGATCCTCATATGAGACATTTTATGAAGCTAGCTAACTTTTGAACGTCGTAATATATTTTTCAGCGATTAACTATGTACCTACTCCAATTATTTTTCGTAACTTGCAGACCATTTCAACCAGTGGCGCTAAGTATGATGCTGGCCTACTGGGAGCCAGGATCGGACATGACATACGAACAGGCCGTGTACTGCGCCTCGGCTGTCATCTTCATGTCCCTGCTCATCGGCTTCCTCAACCACCACGGTTCCTACTCCACCCAGCAGTTTGGCATGAAAGTCAGGATCGCGGCCTGCTCGCTTATTTATAGAAAGGTTGGTAAAACAATAAAACCAAGCAAAGTCCATCATTCAAAACCTTGAACCTTCAGTTAATTTACAGTAAAATGTCCTGGTGATAGATGCCATTGAAACGTTAATAAAATGTCGTCAGGAAAAACGTAATATTAATTCAGTCAGTATTTTCTTTGTGATTGTACGTACTTACATAAACTTAATTGTTTTTGGTTCACCAAAGACGTCAGAAACCCTTTGCTATTAACGATGTTGATGGTATCGGAATTTCAAACCCGTTATAATTTTACTGAGAAGCACAAAGGCATTATTAAACTGATTTACACCCATACGCATCGTCCCACATCGGGATATCGCGCATACTGACGTAACAATACAACGCATTAATGAGTAGTATTACCTTAAGCTGTCAGCACGATCTCGTTTGCTTATAGCAATTAACGTGCACTTCACAAGGCATGCATGTATAACATTATTGGTCTTTTGTTTAATTCAATACTGTTTAAATTACCAGGTCATGCGCATGAGTTCTGGCGCCCTCGCGCAGACGACGGCGGGGCAAGTCGTCAACCTGTTGTCTAACGACGTGAACCGGTTCGATTATGCGTTCATCTACACTCACTTCATCTGGCTGCTCCCTCTGCAAGTTGTCATCGTGTGCTACCTCATATACCTGAAGATCGGCTATGCTGCGATTGTTGGAGTCGTCGGCATCGTCCTACAAACTATCCCAGTGCAATGTTAGTCGGTTTTTACTTCAAATTATATCTCATACTGTCGAAAAGTCACGTGATTTGTCGACAATGCCGGTCGCTATCAAAGAAATCGATAATGATATTTTTATCACGTCGTTTTACTAAAGGTGAGTATAGACTAGAGCATTTACTTGTAACAGAACAACAAGCTGCTCTATGAAATGTATAGTGTACGAGTATCACCCTGTCACGAACCAAACGTCATACATTTTACCTGTACCTTAACCAAACCGTTCTAGTTGCTCTAGCTAGTCTATACTCACCTTAAAATTAGGATGTAATTATCAAAAAATATGATAACAAAGACCGGCACCATTAAGTTGATTGTGTGTGACGATTGTTACAGCTTACATGAGCAAATTGGCCGCACGGCTACGGATGAGGACCGCTTGTAAAACCGACGAGCGCGTGCGCATTATGGACGAAATCATTAGTGGCATGCAGGTATGTTAACTGGAATTTAATTGAATCTCAAATTCTACTAATGGAGATTCACGTGTCCTGTTGTAGGCACAGACGCCGGAGTGTTAATCTTTTGTTCGATTGTTACACAAAACTATTACTTAATCGTTTCTCGATAAAAATACTAGATAGAGATGCTATTAGGTGAATCAGATCACACTAAATTGTAATTTGGTTCACATTTGGGCGTAATCAAGATTTGAATTAATTGTTTACACATTTTACTACATCAAAATACTATAATTAAATAACAGTTTCTTTCTCATAATATGTTTAAATCCAAGCAACCGTACAAAAACTCGTATATTTACTTTTGCTCTTAATCTTTTGTTCTTATAGTCTTGTAGAGTCACTAAGCTGCTCCCTTAGAATAGCATCAGGTTGCTGATTAAATAAAAATAGCGCATAAGTACTTGGCTTAGGTACGTTTATGGTTACGGTTTGGTTGCGTTTCATTACCTACCATAAACTGTGGTTTTACCGACCACATTAATACATATCTACATAAAACACAGTGACAAACCTTCATGATTTACCTTACTTATCGCATATTAATAGGGCACAGGTAAGTACTCATAGCCATATGCGTAAATACCTATACTACATTAAAAACAGATAGCTACCTACTCCAACCATTATTTATTTTCAAAAATTATGTTTTTTAATTAATGAAGGCTGAGTTGCACCATCTTATTTTAACCTTGACTATAACCATAACCGGTGTTTTTTGTATGGAGTTTGATAGACTTTTAACGTTTGTTAAACGAGTAAGATAGTGCAACCCAGCCTTAGACATTTTAAAAGATATTTTATTTGTTTACAGACGATGACCTAGAGCAATGATAAAAGGGTATAAAAATGAGGATTTCATATTTTCTTAAAAAGTTTTCGTATTCCGTAAATGGTTAAATATTCAATAACTTGTCCATCTTTTAATTATAGTGAATACACAAGTAGGTACAATACATAGCGGTAATGAATGTCACTTTCCGCGAGTTGTTTTTACGAGTATGTACCTATAAGCAAATGTTTTTGTATGTCAAGTACGAGTACGGCGTATTGTGTACATCCAGTGAATGATATTTGACCTCGTTGTGTACGAATCTGACCACACCTATCTGATTTTCAATTTGATTCTTTGACATATAAACCTCTATTAAAATATTGTGAATTTGTGATGCACTAGTAGCATACTTACTAAAAACGCCTTACCTACTATGATTATGATCGTATAAATCGTATAAACCTGACTTGTGTTGTCATCGTCAATCGTCACAGGTATACAATTCACAATACCTTATTTCCCCATTTCGCATGCCTATTGTAAAGCAAATAATTCACTTCCCATAGCCGATTCGGTTTTTACCACTTTGCACTAAAATCTGTCTCGTGTTTGTCAGTTCAAACTACTCTAAACCATTATCATAGATATCCAATTCAATCTCATTCCTTCATCTATTCATCATCTTAGTGTTTGAGACCTAATAACGACCCTTGACTCACTCAATTACGAATGATAGCTTGTGATGAAAGAACAAGAGCTTAGCTTAGCTTAGCTCAGTAATGTTTTTTACAAGCAAGCTATATTACATAATATCACATGAAACTTGATATGTAAATAAAAATTCAGTTTCCTAAAAGAAACAAAAAATGGCATACATGTTCTCGTTAGGTCGGAAGAGGATGCAAGCGTGTTGTTCGTTGAAGAATGTGACAGCCGAGTTCTTTATACAAATGAACTCTAAACCGCATAAAAATCTAACACATTATTTATTTCAGGTGATAAAAATGTACGCCTGGGAAAAGCCGTTCGAGCAAGTGGTGGCTTTAGCCCGCAAGAATGAGATCAAGTGCATCACCTCCGCGTCCTACCTCCGAGGGGTGTACCTTAGCTTCATGGTGTTCACCGAACGACTGTCCCTGTATATCACCCTGCTCACCTACTCGCTCTTCGGCTACCAAGTCACCGCTGACATCGTAAGTTTGTCTTTATAACATAGGCGAAATAAGATGAGGTTCAAAAGTTGTAAACGGCCCTATCAATGCAAAGGCCATAAAAAGCTTATTGAGCTCAAAAATGCAAGTGCATTGTTTTCTAGCACACTTTATGTACTAAGGTGGCAAACTAAACACCCCTTTTTACCTAAAATGAAAAGCAATAATTCCGAATGAAGCTCGTTTCCACCGTCAGCCTGATCATCACTTACCATCAGGCCAAGAGCTTCTTCGTTGTAAATTAAAAAAAATCTTTCCTACATTCCACGTCGTTATTATGAACCTATTTTATTTCTTTGAAGATTATAAGAAACTGAAAGGCAGCCTGCTTATGATATGATTCACCGCAACAAGCACAAGCGGCATTTACGAAAATATTAAATTGCTCAAATAAACTTGTCTCATTGTGATCCAGATCCAGAATTACACAGCAAAAATTTTCAGGTTTTTCCACTGGCACAGTTCTACAACACCCTGCAAGGAACCCTTTCGATTATCATGTCGAACGCCGTCTCGTTTTTGGCCGAGGCGCTGATTTCAGTGCAGCGCCTAGAGGCGTTCATGCTGCTCGGTATGTGACCGACTGGTCAAACCTCGAATGCATGCGTCTATTTTTATCCTTCTCAAATCTTCCACGAGTCCAAATTATTACAGGACATCGTTTAACACCAATTGATGTTTACTGGCTTAGGGTATGCCTAACTCACTTCTGTAGGAACTCTTTTTATGTGTCAATATACAACTTGATCGTAGCGAATATATTAATCGTAACGGATGCAGTCACTAGACGGCAATTATTGAATAATTCACCTTTATGCGACTGTTAACCTTATATCACCATTTTTCTAAGAACTTGAGTGATGCATGATTTTACTTAATTAGGTGTGTTAAAGATATATCACGCATGAACTGAGTGTAGTAATTAAGGCGATTAGTGTCCTCAATCCGCGTAAAATGGTCATTTTGTAAAGCCTACTCCTCTTTTACTGCTGGACAGAAATAGTTGAAAAAAATATATGTTATACAACAGTTCAAGGACTACATTTGACACGTTTGAATTTTTCCTACGTCTCTTTGTTGTGGATTAAAAAAATAAATACGGGACATCGATTTTTTACTTCAATTCCCTACTCCTCCCAAACGGCTATGTTAATTTTAAAGATTTTTGCACGAATAGATTAAGAATTCTTTAATCTTTAAATGACACGTTGCGTTTTTCAATCGAACATTACTTTCATTCATAAATTTTACTTTTGATAAATTCCGAACGTTTTGCTGTTGAGGGGGCCTTCGCGGGGTGCGGGCGGCAGTCGGCCGCTGGCCTTCAGACGGGGAGGTTGTGTTACTCGCTGCAAACTGACATTAGCGATCAAAATGAATTTTTTCTTTGGCTGAGTTGCACCACCTGACGTGACCTAACTTTGACCGTAGCTTTGGCGATAACCGGTGTTTTTTTGTATGGAGTTTGACAGATATTTGACTTTTGTCAAATTTAAAATAAGATGGTGCAACCCAGCCTTTGTTTGACAATATATTTTATGTCAGAGTTGTTCATAGAGTACGTTCAGTCAGACGATACGATTGAATTAAGGCATGCTTGGACGCTATTATCTACCTAAATAGAATCTATTAGTGTAAAAAAATCGACTCCAAAACAAACTGCACTAGATAAGTAAAAGTAGAAAATATATTCCGTTATTTATTTACTAGGTCAAATTTATACCATGATTGATATTTTCGGAGTCGGTGGTAGCACTGGCAGCCTACGGTTTGGTAATTTGTTTTGGAGTTGGTTTTAATTTTTAGTGAAAATTAATTTATTTCATGCTTTTGTTGTTGTTGACCCTGTTGTTGCTACTGAAAGTCGACATTGAGACCATATTTTTTATGTTAAGTGCTGTTATCTATACATATGAAAAAAAGGGTCTTGACAGACAGACGGACGAATAACAGAGTAATCTTATAAGGGTTAAATAATTAGTTGTTTCCTTTTGAGGTTCGGAACCCAAAAAATATATGCGCGTTGACTTAGGAACCTGATCTGTTTTTTCGTTGGTTACTATGAACCTTATTTTTATAGTTATTTTATGATTTTTGAATGCATCGAAACTTTTAAATGGAGAATAAAATTGGCCTATTGAAAGTCTCCGTATGGGAAATATTTTGTCAAAATGACAATTTTATTCTTGAGATAAAAGCTCAGATAAAAGATGATAAGTATGCAATAATACGTAATTCAAAGTCTTTATTTCACGCATATATACCGACATAAATAACGACATCTGATTGAGTTTATGAAAATGCATCGAAAAAATGGTTCGATGAAATATGCGGCCATGAGAGCTTTGAAAATGAATGCAGTGATGTAAGTATCTATCTAACATTCCTTCACTAATTTGGAACGTGTCTTTTTCTATTATATACCTAGATTCTGTCCTTACGCAATTTATCTGACTAAAAGCTTGTTACGAGATTTAGGTAAGTTCTTGTAGATGTACCTATTATTTACCTATCCGTGTTTTTTTTAGATTTACTTTAAAATTAAGTTACGTTATGAATGTATTTTTGTTTACACAAGTAAATCTCGCGACGAGCTTTTAGTCATATAAATTGAGTAATGATAGAATCTTTATTTTTTATTCTATTCTTTTTAGAGCATACAAAACCTTGTTTTATAAAGAATGTTTTTCTTTTAATTTTAATTTAAGCATTTTAGTATTTATGATGCGGAATTTACTACGGCGTAGTAGCATCGTTTTTCTTTAATGTAGCTCGTAATAATTCGAAGAATTCTTATGGCCACATTCCAGCTCCATCATCAGACCCTGTTTACATATAGAATTGAAGTAGGTACTCGTGATTTGTAAAGTAGTTTACCGTAACTATGTAAACCCTAATGTAAATAAATAAATACAAATCAAACGAGCCTCAACTCGATGGAGTCGTTTTATTCCGGAGTTCCTATGGGGTCACTGACTTTCCAGCTCTATCATTAGATCAGCTCCATGTCATCATAATATTGCATTGTCATCCGAATTGCATGTGTATCCGAAATTTTAACTCAATCGGTTGTCGTCAGGAAATGGGTCTAACTACTTAATTCAGCTTGCAAAATTCCACCCGAACAAACATACTTTACACACAACATACATTGTAAGCTAAATAAAATAAAAAATATTATCCCATACAAAATGTTCATGGATTTGTAATTTTTGTTAAATATAAATACCTTACTATACGGTGCGCTAGTTTAGAACATTTCGGGCGATCACTTGCGCCTGGGTTGAATGACATCGAAATCAAGGTTCATCAATTCAAGTTTAAAATAATAGGCAGTAATGTATGAAGAAAGAGCTTCTATTCTGTACCTACCTATGCCCGTGTATTTTTGATCGGTGTCAAATCGGAGTTTTCGTGCGGGGTGCGCGGGTGTTGTGCGAAGCGTGAAGGTCAAACGCTCAAGGTCATTGAGGACTCTAATCGCCTTAAGTGGAGCATTCTTTAATATTGATGCAGGTTATTAGGCGGCATGTGGGCTAATCAATTAATATCTCCATCTGCTGGATATTTTGTAATAGTTAGTGTGGTTTCCACAGGCTTATCCGACGGCACAATTATTCAACACTCTGCAAGCGACACTATCCATCTGTACCATTCATTCTTTTAGTGCAGCAATGGAATGTGTAACGAGCATTCGGCGAATTGAGACTCTCTTACTGCATGGTACGATAAACCCCAAGTAAATCGGTGTGATTTTGAATGGCGTTTCTAGGCGTTATGATGCTAGGCATACTTTCAGGGGAAATAACTTTCTTAAAGCTTGTTATTAACTTGCATGTGCTGATTGATTTTACACTAACCCATAACTTTAAAGGACGTCGAGGGAAAGGGGACCGAATATGTCTTAACATAATTTTACTACCAACTCAATGTTTAATCTTTTTCTATCATTGTTCTTTTTTATTAATAGATCTAGATATCAGTAAATAATTTAAAACGCAAGCAGAAAAAGTTAAATGAATATGAATAATCTGTGAGACATCGTGGCAATACCTACTGCATCTGTATTTAAAAATGAATACCTGGTATTGACCGTAACTAAGAACCTTATAAATAAACATAAGCACGCATTGTGTCAGTCCACTCATCAAGTAATAACTTCATAGATATCGGAATCCTAATTAATTTATACCAGATGTAGAGTTGTGGTGTGGATTAACATGTGCAACGCGCACATTGTGCTCACTAGTTATTATAAAGTGCTTACTAATAATGCATAATGTATGAACAGACGAACGCGAGGACCTCAGGAGTGTGGCCGACGTGGACATAGCCAAACTGGTCCAGAGCGTGGAGAGGAAGAAACAAAAGAACCTCAGCGAAGAAGACCTCTGCCAGAACACGTTCAAGAAAATCGACGAAGATGGCATATTCAACCCAGGTACGTTAAGTACATCAGATTATACATGTTTTGTTGCAAAAAAGAACGTTAATACAACTACGTAAGGTCCCAGTGTTAACCTTTATGTACACGCATGTACTATGAAGGTATTCCCATAAATCTTCTCAGTTTGAACACACTTTCACTTTCACCACACACATACCAAACTAATAGGTGATTTTACTTCGACTGATGAATTCATTTTCTAACTACATCTTATTTCTTAAAAATCACTATGTAAACATTCTGATTTATTCAAATGAGTAGGCATGGTACATTTTCATTTAAAAATTATATGTGGAAAAGTATTGTTTTACAAATAATCGTTTATGCAGGTGTTACAACACACGCACAAAGTAAACAGCTTCATTAATGAACCATAACAATATTTACTTTAAGCCATACAACAATGAACGAGACAATGAAAAATTTCTTTTTGTTTAAGAAATTGAGACATTTAACTTTGAAACATTCTGACTTTGTTTGGATGAAAACGATAACACATCGGAAAGAGCTACATTTTTCTAATATTTTCTTTGGTGTATTTTGTTATATTCAGGCATTTATTTACCAATTCAGAATAAATACGATCTTAGAACTTCAATTTATCAACGATCGTCATTTGGTTTACATTTTATAAACTTCGTACCCATGAAAATATCTTTTGTAATTTTCCCGTTTTCCCAAAAATTTTCATTGAAGTTCCACTCTTATTGGTCGTAGCGTATTACCTCGAAAAATGGACGACCCAACCCAACACAATATTTTTTCCAAATCGGACCAGTAAATATTAATTGTTTGTTTTATACCTACTTTCAGGTTTCGACTGCAACGAGAAGGGTCTGCTGAAGAAGACTCTAAGCTCCATGACGGTGGGAGCAGACGTGGGTATTCTCCTTCAAGACGTGAACGCGAGCTGGACTGAAGACGGACCGGTGACGCTGCGCAACGTCAACATTACTGTGCCGAAGGGAAAACTTTGCGCAATCATTGGCTCAGTTGGGTCTGGAAAGGTGAGAACTATCTTCCTACTTTTAACCTATAGATCTAGTGCTTGACTCAGTCCATGCTTGGGGTATAGGTATTGGAACGGCACGGGAAGGTGTTTTTGTAACGTCAAACGTCAGCGTGACTTCAAATCTCCTTCCGCCCCCTTAGACAAAACGCACTTTTTGATCGAATCGAAAATCGAATCCGTCAAAACACCATACAAAAAAGGGGCTTTGCGACCACTTTTCGACTGGTTTGCGATTATAATTTGCACATTGTCTAGACCCACAGATTTGTATGCTGTGTCACGTTATAAATTATGTCAATGTCATCCCTTTCTGCCGCTCCCATACCTCAGGCACTGACTGAGCTAAGTTTTTAGTTAGATGTCTTTTAGGTGCGTATTAAAAAATAATTCTCACGATTCAATCTCAATCAATAGATTTTCTGTGATTGTACTAAATTTTACAAACAAAATGTCTCATACTATGCTTGAGATTGAATCGAGTTTGCGAGCCGGTTCGTAATACGCAAAATATCAGTCTCAGTTGCATCAGGTATTCTTTGATTCAGGTCAAACGCAGATTAGTTTCATGTAAAAATTAAATTCATCGTGCATAGACAAAAGAATTAATTAGGTATAGGGTTGCACTTTTGTGTATAGTAGCGTTAAGCATGCAAAGCGCATTACTAGACACGTAAGAGTGCTATAGTTAAACATACATACGAGGTAAATGATGTTTAGTTTAATAAATCTTCCACGTGCGAGTAGGATGGGAGATAGATGACTTAAGAGGCACATTACCATAAACAAATAAAGAACTCTATATTAGGTATTATTATTGACATTTAACAGAGCTTTTATAACCTATGTAACATAACTATCTACTACTTTTATTGATCAATTAGCAGTCAATCCCAGCTTCTGCCCACACACATGATATCTTATCCATACTCTTACATCTTACAAATAGTGCATGATTTTTAACTTTGTATCTTCACTTAAGGTCCTATGTCCCCTAGATAGGGCACAGGGCGTCCACAACCAGTTCTCCATCTTGCCGATTTTCTTCGCCTCGTCTGCTACAGTGCACCACGAAATTTGCTTGGGGCAACCACGTTTGCGTTTTCCTTGGTGATTCCAAACCAGAGCCTGCTTAGGGATGTGATCGGGATCCCTCACTGTCACTGTATCACTCACTGTTTCAATAGCTCAAGTTAGGGTTAAAAGTCGTCAAGATGCGACCTAAATGTTTTGAATCACGTCACATTAATCAACTTTCATATTTTCAGAGTTCCATTCTGCACCTGCTGTTGAATGAGCTTCGGTCGACCAGCGGCAAGATATACCTGTCAGGGCCGCTCTCCTACGCTAGCCAGGAGCCCTGGCTTTTCGTCGCTACCGTCCGCCAAAATATCCTTTTTGGCCTTCCTTACAACTCCAAGAAATACAAAGAGGTATTTCCCATTTAAAACCACAAATCCACTTTTTTCCAACAGTATTAAAACCGCAAAATTCAATTAAAATTCCGCTTTCAACCGCGTGTTGGTGTTACCTTTTAGTATTTTTAGTTATTAATTATTTTTTTATCACAAGCACTTATTAAGCACATTTTTGTCAAACAGGTGGTCAGAGTTTGCGCCCTACAAAAAGACTTCCAGCAATTCCCTCATGGCGACCAAACGTTGGTGGGCGAAAGAGGCGCATCTTTGTCTGGAGGTCAAAGGGCGCGAATCAATCTCGCCCGTGCTGTGTACAGACAGGTAACAATTACTCGTATAAGTATTTTTTTTTAATATTCTTACAGGCTTCTGTGGTGTAATGAAATGAAAAATCTTGTCGGCAAATTCCAAAATAAACACTACTTATCATAATGTTACAACAGTAACGCCCGTATTCACAATCGATACTTGCTTAGGTGAAGCATCAAATCGAACGCACAGCGTTGAATAGAGCTCTATGATTGGTTCACGTGTCACCCTGTGCGTCCACGCGCACTATGAGACCTAATAGCAATGTTTGTTATTACGAGCGTTACAATGGTAGATTCGAAATCGCACTGCTTAATTAGACCAGCCTAGCGACAGGAAGACGTGGCTCAACCGTTGTTCATAAATAGTACATAAAAGCTTAGTACGATTGCATTAATATGACAAGGTCACAAGGACATCATCGACCCGATCATATCATTTAAATTAGATAGATAGATAGAACACACTTTAACACCACAAAAGACAAGAAAAGAAAAAGACAGAGAAACAAAATATACGACACAGTTTAAACGGTCTTCAGATTCATAAAATGATACCAAAACTTTACACCGCTATAAACATAGCACAAAAGTATATCTTAACACCTGCCCTTTGTCATTAGACGTGACCTTAATAACCTTGAGTAGGTAATTATGTTAAGTAACTTTAATAATTAAGGAATTTAAATGTTATCCATTTTGAGGAATAGGTAAGACTTTTTCTATTAAATTTTTTTGTCCTTATCCCAGACATGACTCTAATCTTATGTAAGTAGATAGGTACAATCTGTTAATTTTTGCGCCGCCTTAGTTTTTGTGCTTGACTCGTGGTTGACTCATAGAGAATGCCAACCGGCATTAAGCCCGCCACTGTACATTACTTTTATGTGCAAAATTTTAAATAAATAAATAATGGTCCTATTTTTTACCAGGCGGAGGTTTACCTTTTGGACGACCCACTATCAGCAGTGGACGCGCACGTGGGTAGACAGCTGTTCGACGAGTGCATCGGAGGGTACCTTCGTCACACCACTAGAGTGCTGGTCACGCACCAGCTGCACTACCTCAAGGCTGCCGACTACATCGTTATATTGAACAACGTGAGTATACTTGACAGCAGACTGTACACATTTTTGTTGAAAAATCTCCGGTAATACTCGAAACGTACAAATCGATGAAGAAGAAAAGAGTCCCTCCCTTTTGTCTTTATTGAACCTCTCTACTCCATTTTGCTCATCTCTTCTTTGAACCTAAGTATTTTTACTGCATTTTGTTCTGTACGTAACTTTTATATACTTTTATTTATTTAGCTTAGATATTTAACTCTGGTTGTTGTCAATGTACAAACAATTGCTGGTAGGCTAATAAGAAAAAAATAAGGTATCATCATGTTTATATTGATGTACCATCGTCCATACTAGATGTATTTACAAAACTCTACACCTGTTAACACCAATAAGGTCTGGTTGGTTACGTGAAATGCACTTTCACTTTCAGCGTAGGTTCTAGCGATTAGGGTTAGGGACACAAATTATGTAACTTCTCTATATACGGAATAGTTAAAAATGTATTCCGTGGCTCTACCATTTTATTTATTCTGTATGCAACGCCTTAGTAAGAGAGTGATTGTTTACATTCTCGTAGTAAATCGAACAATTGAATAAAGGTCGTTTTAAATGATAATGAACAGGTGATTTTACGTTTTTCTAACAGGGAGCTGTAGATGCTAAAGGGACGTACGATGAACTAGTAGATTCTGGCAAAGACTTCGCAAAATTATTATCGTCTACTCAGGATGATGATGATGACAAGAAAGACGCTGAAAAACCACCTCCAATGCCAAGAAGAACATCTTCAAGGGTAAGTCATTATAATACCAACCATTTTACTTCATACTACAGTTGTACCGAATGCTTTATGAGTATTGTCGTGGCCTTTTGAACCTTGTGGGAAAATTAACTTTTGAGACTGAATTAAGTACCTAAAAATTTAAAGTGAGTTAAAATTTTTGAACTGTTCTATTTTAGCTATCTACCACCCGTCGGCCGTCCCTCACAGAATCAACCGGAGGTTGTGAGGTCGCGCAAGAGATGGAAGAAGAAGAGAGGGAATCAGGCTCTATGGGATGGCACGTCTATGGTGCCTACCTGAGAGCGGGAGGGAAGACCGGCCGCCTCGTGTTCATGGTGCTATTGCTATTCGTGGGACAACTATCCGCAACTCTTTGTGACTATTGGGTCACTTTCTGGTAAATGATTTTCTTAAATAGAAAAATCACAAGATGTAGGTTTTTGATACACTGCCTGATTTTGGGAAAACCTTTTTGACACTCATATGAGGACATAACTGCTCTAAAATTAGGCTTAGCAATTGTTAATTTTTGATTGCTATGTATGCTACGCTACAACATGTTATGCTTTAATTTTACGTGACTACCTTTCGTATACGTAATACTCATAATTACCTTCCATTCCTTTACGTGAAGCGTTTGTAAATGTAGCAATTGCAATTTGCGAATGCAGCTGTACTTTCTATAGAAGGTGAATTTGCCTTGAATACTAAAATACCGATCAAGATACCCCACTGAATGTACTGCCATGAAATACGAAAATAGTTACATGACCCCAATAAAATACATTTTATATATTTTTAGGACAAATGAGGTAACGAGAATGAAAGAAAGAGAAAGCAATGGCACGAAAATTGACTATGATACAGTCATTGTGCCAAGAAATAGCACCTTCAACTTATCCAGTTACTTCTCCGGAATAAAAATGAAACCAGGTAATTATAAACATAACAGAAATACATTTACCTATAATAATTTTTGTTGTACAAAAGCAGTAGGATCCAAAAGTAAATGTGAAAATTATATTCCTTTGGACCCACTGCTTATCCCAGATTTCTATCAATGGTACGAGGGCTTTTAAAAACAACTAAGTGGTCATTACAAATTGTAATAGAACTCTATTCTGTAAAGCTTCAACCACACCAACGCGTGCAAATCGCCATCGCGCGATCATAGTACAGGTCTCGCGGTACCCATGACAGTTCGCGCGGCCTGTCATTTGGCCTATGAGCGCGCCGTGATCGCGCCGGCGATGGCGATCTGCACGCCTTGGTGTGATTGAAGCATAAGAGCATGACCTAACACTGATTTATTTGTTTTTGCAATCCAGATATGGACATCCACGCCTACATAGGACCGCTAGACACGTCTCAGTACCTCTACGTGTATTCGGCGCTCATCGTGTGCTGCATCTTCTTCATCACGGCGCGCGCGTTCATGTTCTTCAAGGTGTGCATGACCGCCTCCAGGAACCTCCACAATGATATGTTCCATTCCATGCTGAGAGGCGTCATGAGGTTCTTCGACTCTAACTCTTCAGGTGACGATGCTTTTCAGTCTGTTTTGATTTTCAGTTTAAATTGTTTTAGATAGGTAGCTATGACTTCTAAATGAAATTCATAAATCACATTACAAAAATTACAGGATTTTAAAAATGCGCAGGTATTCCATTATAATAATACTGAAAAAACTGAAAATACGTACATAAACCTACTGAAGATGTAAACACGTAATTCCGAATTCATAGCTATTTAGAAAAAAATTGGCTTCTTTGAGTACTTAGTTATTTACACAAAACAATAATTGAGAAGGTAACTCCGAAGCCCCACAAAAAACTTTAATTTTTAACAACTTCTTCAATATTATACTTATCAAAACTTCGCACCACGCGCCAGTACATTCACCTGAATCAAATATTCAACACTTAATTAAGCCTTACGTAGCACGTAACAGTATTTACGACCACAGAATAAGTAACTTCCAAAGTAGAGACATTAAAACTTGTACTAAGTAATTCATATTTTTTCAGGGCGTATTTTGAACAGATTCTCTAAGGATATCGGAGCATTGGATGAACTTCTTCCTCGATTCTTGTTGGAATGCATTCAGATTTACTTGGTGATGTTCAGTATATTAGCTCTGAACGCTGCTGCTCTTGTATGGACCTTACTGCCGACCACGATTATCCTGCTGCTATTTTACACTATACTACAAATCTACCTCAAATCAGCGCAGTCTATTAAACGGCTGGAAGGCACAAGTAAGTTTAAAAATTTTGCCATTAGTTTTAACTAGCGGCTGCCTGCGACTTCGTGCGCGTGGACCCCATTTTACCCCCTTAGGGGTTGAATTTTGCAAAATCGCGTCTTAGTGAGCACCTACGTTTTAAAAGGAACCCCCATGCAAAATTTGAGACTCCTAGCACTTGTAGTTTATGAGTGAGTGAGTCAGTGACCTTTCGCTTTTATTAGATAGATTTTAAAGAGATTTTGTAAAACTTACTGTTATTTTTAGCCCGCAGTCCAGTATTCTCGCACATGTCGGCAACGCTGAACGGCATTAGCACCATACGCTCCGCTGGCGCCCAACAAAGACTGATAAAGGAGTTCGATAGGTTTCAGGTTCGTATTCCAAAGACACAGAAGCAAACAAAAGGCTTGAATTTTGATTCTGAGTTTTAATTTAACGCTTAGTCTACTGCATAGACCAAGTTTCTGACACAGCCTGAGTCAGTAGAGTGACGTAAGCGCTACATGAAATTCACCAAAAAGCATTGTGAAATCACCACGCATACGTCACCACAGGCCTCGCCAATATGCAACAGTGTCAGAGGTTAACACTCTTTTAGCACTCGTCATTACGCAAATTAAAAACATTAAGCAAGATTTTTTTCTTTAGGACATTCACACATCCACGTGGAGCAGTTACTTGGCGAGCGGCGTGACGCTCGGCTTTTGGCTCGACTTCATCTGTGTGCTCTACCTTGCCATAGTCATAGTCGCCTTCCTAGTCATAGATAGCAGTAAGTATAAACTTACACCTACCTACATTCATATAACGGAACAATATTTCAATTTTATAAAAGTAAAAAATACAAATTAACTAATAGTCCCGTTAATTATTAACTAACCCGTCGTGGTGAGCTAAATTCATAGTATAGCATTTTAACAACGGGTTGAGTTTCTTTTGTTCACGTCATACAACTTACTGATAACTTAAGATATCCTTTACTTGCATTCTTAGTTTCAGATTTTTACAAAGTTCCAATGCAAATGTTCACAGAGACAATATTCTCCGGCAATGTGGGCCTGGCGATATCCCAGACTCTCATCCTGACAGGCATGCTGCAGTTTGGGGTGCGACAGACGGCCGAAGTCATCTCGCAGATGACCAGTGTGGAGCGGATTCTGCAGTACACCCACATTGAACGCGAGAAGCAGTGGGACAAAGGCGGTTAGTATTTTGCAACGATCAGTTTTGCTTAGATAAGTAATATGATTTTCAGAACATTTTCCTCAGGATATAAAAGGCCTTCCGAGATAGAAGCTCGTCTCCACGTGAGATCTGATCTAAACCTTTTCACAATGCGAGCCAAGGGGAATCATAACGTCTTGGTTACATTTTAAATGAAAATTGTTATTCGCTGGATTTATTAATTTAAGTTCTTGAAATTTTATTTCAAGATTCACATCTAACGTGTAGCTACATTTTTTCAGGTGTCTTTGCCTAAAACAATGAATTAAAAAGCTACCGAAAATGTATATCATGATTCCTATTTTAGAACGTGAAACGCCCAAAGGCTGGCCGTGGCGCGGACGCATCGAATTCCGCAACTGTTACATGAAGTACACCCCTGAAGACTTGCCCGTGCTCAAAAACCTCAACCTGGTGCTAGAAAGCGGATGGAAGGTACATAAAACACACTAACTAATCGTCAACATCATCAGATCCTTTGGTCTCCACTGCAGGAGGACATCTCTAATCTGCCAAACGAAATAAAGGATTTGGCATACACTCCCCACGCTAGCCAGACCTTCGTCGTCTTTTCCGATTGTGCTCCTGTTATCGCACTTATAGACACCGGAACTATTATATGTACTTCATATTAATTTATTTAGGTGTAACTGTTAGCGTACCGGACTGGGTGTGAAAAGACCACGACCACTCTGCGTTAGTGTAGCGACGAAAAAGAAGAGTTAGCGTATAAACTATTTATTTATATTTTCGTTTTATTTACCAGGTGGGCATAGTAGGCCGCACGGGTGCCGGCAAATCCTCACTGATCTCGTCGCTGTTCCGACTGGCCATCGTCGAAGGCGAGGTGCTAATTGACGACATCGACACCAAATACCTTGCCTTACAAGTAAGATCACTTATCTACTTGCTTGCTTAATTCACAGTTTACACTTGTCTATCGTCGCAGGGTCTTGAGAGCTTCAGTAAGACGCCTATGGTTACGTCATAACGTTTCTGGTTACGTCATAACTGGGTCTAGGTAGGTACGACAGGTATTATTCTATGGTACGACACTATATCAAAATATTTATACGTACTGTGTAGGTCATTACAGGAGCTGCTGTTGTTTACCAAAAATATAGGTGATTTGTAGGTCAGAAGTGCATCATTTGCACTATTCAGTCACCTGTAAAGTACACACGTACCTAGTACCTATTTTGAAGCTACATCAAAACAAAATACATAGTAGGACAGACGGAAGTACATCAAGCTAAAATGCATCTTGTTGCAATAGGTGCTGTTTTTCAACAAAAATTCTAATTATACTTAACTAGTTGAAAAAACGAGCGTACACATAAACAAACACATTATAGTTAAATATCCCATTAAAAATCTAATGGTAGCAAAAAGTTATAATGATCCTACGTGCTAAGTATACCTGCCTAAACTGCCTATATTACAACCACTAAATGAAATATTTTTTTAAATACCTAAAAAAATCGAACTGCCCAACGTGGAAATCGAACCTTTTTCTTGCCGGGCGACTGCTCTTCCATCTGAGTTATTTAGACACTGAATGAACCGACAAAATTTTCAAAAAGTGTAATACGCTATTACGGCCAGCGTTTGTTCCATCAATGTTGGGTAGTAAGTACCACAGGTAGTACTACAAGCAAGCGAAAGGTCGTGGGTTCGATTCCCACTTTAGACAGTTCGATATATTTGAGTTGTTTTATAAAAATTAGATCGAGAGGCGATTCTTAATGCCAGAAAATGTTAATAACTATGAAATATACAAATGACTTACCCAACTGTTCGCCATGCAGGAGCTACGTTCGAACATCTCCATCATACCCCAAGAGCCAGTGCTGTTCTCGGCGACAGTTCGCTACAACCTGGACCCCTTCAACAACTACGATGACGACCAGCTCTGGAAGGCACTTGAAGCCGTAAGTACCTAGTACCAGCTGTTACATAATGTACCTACAGGTTCAAATAATGTATTGAAAACAAAACAATCAAATGTTTATCAGAGCTTCACACACCCGCTGGTGCCATTCCATGCAGTGCATAAAATTATATCTCCACACCAACTTATTCTGTGAAAAATGACCATAGACACTCCATCGATTATGAAAACACCATTATTTACTGTAGTAGTGCTATATACATTACACTTACCTTTAGCAGTCATATTATAGATACGAGTAGTTATTGCTGCCTCATGTAATCAAGCTGTTAGGTAGGCTACCTATCTGTTATCGATTATATCGAGTAAGTACTCAATTTGCGTCACAATGTGCTTACCTACAAAGCGGGCAACGGGCCTTGAGTTATTAACAAAGAAGATATGGATTGAAAACAACCGAATCAAAATTAACTAATGCGATTAGACCAAAATAAGATAACATATCACATTGATACACTACTACTAATCGCAATACTTAAATTCTATGCTACGATTATACATAGAGGAGTTATTAAAGGTACCTAAGTAGATAGCCTTACTAAGTATAAGGTAAATAGATATTGACGTAATTGTAGATAGGTATAATTATAATAAGGTAATTAGAATACCTAATTAAGCTGCATTGGGGAGAATCTTGATTACGTAAAGCGCGGCACGACTGCATTCATAAACCTTCAAAGTTTGCAGACGACGCCGCTTCACCGACGCAAACTTGCGAAATGAAGTTTATGAACGGGGACAACACACGTGCCGACTAATAAATTAATTTAATACGATTATACACACTCGCTGCGATTAATTGTAGCGTGTGCACCTGCTGAAACAAGGGTCCTATTTCTCACAGCGTGAAGTAAAGTTGTGGAAAAGTTCTAACCTACTTATTACATAGCTCAATATCCTCCAAAACAGTCGCTTGCATGTGTCAACCAATATTTATTCATGAATACTTTTACTTTCTATCACGCGTCTCTCAGATAACAATGCCTGATTAGCAATTCAAAACGTTTTCATGAGTAATAACTGCAAAAATTACATTGTTTTACCTACTTAAACCCCAGGTGGACCTCAAAACGGCAGTGCCAGCGCTAGACTTCAAGGTGTCTGAAGGTGGATCGAACTTCTCGCTCGGGCAGAGACAGCTGGTGTGCCTGGCGCGAGCCATCCTGCGCGGGAACCGAATCCTCGTGCTTGATGAGGCCACCGCGAACGTCGACCCTAAGTGAGTACCTAGCTACCTAACAAAGGATAAGCAATCTGAGTGATTAGAAGACTAGTACTATCGAAACAATAGATCGACTCTACATTTTGCTTCGATTGACGTCACTGATTGACGGATTTACTCAGGTGATACCTAAATAATACCAGCTACTATCTGCTATACCTACTCAGTAGCGCCCAAAATGTAGCGCCTCAAATCTAATTAAGCTCCCGTGCACATAGTAGGTATTCACCCGTAGTAGTAGTAGTAGTAGTACAGTCAGCGTCAAATAGTGACCCCCAAAGTGGCCAAAAATTTACAACACAAACGGAACAAAGACGTGTTGCGAACTTTTTGGCTACTTTGGGTTTCAAGAACTATTGACGCTGACTGCAATGTAGAGTAGCTTTGAGACGCTACATTAGAGAAGCAGTTCATCTATGAAAGACAAAAATGTCTACTTACGTACATAGATTAATCCTGACACTTTTGCAGAACGGACGAGTTCATCCAGAGAACGATACGAACTCGTTTCGCGGACTGCACGGTGCTGACGGTGGCACACCGGCTCAACACCATCATGGACTCCGACCGCGTCATGGTGATGGATGCCGGACGCCTCGTCGAGTTCGACCACCCCCACAACCTGCTCAATAACCCCAACTCACACTTCACCAAAATGGTGCAAGAAACCAGTGACAAAATGTCTGCGCAACTCCACCAAATCGCGAAAGACACCTTCATCAAAAACGGCGGCGTCATAGAGTAAGCCTTTAGCCAATAGTTTGTAAGCCCCGATTGTATAGTTAAATGTGTTGCGTAAGAATGCCTATGTATAAGAGTCAATGAATGGCGTATGTTAGGGACACCCTGTTGCAATATATTGTCTGAAATTAGTTCTGCGTTATTAATTTTTTATCATCCCTACGTGAGTATTATTTGGTTCTTAATAAAAGAATGTCTACACATGCCTATGCCAAAATAATTGTTTTCAGTATGTATTACTTTCGCTTTTACGTAGGTAATGTAGGTATTAGTAGCGACGAGTTGGCACTTGGCAGAGGGTGGAACTTTGCTCTCTAGTGTTACACTCGGACGGTTTTAAAATACACTTTTATTATTATGTTATTCCTTAAAATATAAATGATTCGCTTCGTTAAGCGCTGTATTTGTGTGCTTATATTTTGAATGTACCCACACTGTATCGCATAGGTAGTTATCAATTGATTAGTAGTCATAATCAAAGCAGTAGAAAAGTCGATAAACAAGCTAGATATTTGACCTGATATTTTGTGCCAAGTAAGTGCCACATAAATAAACCACATTCATTAGCAATAATATAAAATCGAGGTCATTATTGCATAACCGCATTTTAAACTCATAATGCTGGTGTTTCCTTAAAATGTTGAACTGTTATTTTGAAGCAACATAATATGGAATAATAATTTTAGTATCAATGTAAGAATTTTAGTTTTAATCAAACAACAGGCAAAACTGTGTTATTTATTATAATATAATGTGTTATACGACAAACAATTCATTTCAAATGATATACCATTGTAAATGCCATAGAGGTTATCCTCGAACAAAATATATAAAAATCATTTTAAAATGTTGTTTTATTCGAATTTTGTTATGATTTTTGTCATAGCAAACGTGTGTTTCATAGAGTCCAGTACAGTCGTTGATGATGTCACAATAGGGTGCCTTATTGCATTTGAACTCGACCTACCGTGCACGCCAATCCGGTATATGAACACTCTTGGCTGCCTAGTGCACGGGCTGCATGGAGTGTTCATATACCGGATTGGCTGTCACAGCAAAGCTGCGCCAGCCAGTCGATCATATGAGGCGCACTAGGCAGGCACCCTATTCCGGTACTCTACTATAAAACTTTTCTTCAATTAGGACATACCATGCGCATACTTATGGCTACAGGCGTGATTTTATTTATTTATTTGCAGAAAACAAAATGCTAACTTAAAAACAACAATTTGTATCGTAACAATTGCTTTATTGATAAATAAACCTTACTTAGTTCCGCACTTCTCCTCCGGGGTCACATCACGCACCAGTTTTGTAAAAGAAAATTAAAATATTCAGTTCTATCGCTTTAGTTGCCGTAGTTCTCTATCTGGTCAATGACAATTTTGACGTTGGTGTTGATGAAGTCGAGGCCGTCCTGGATGGCCGACCTGATGTTGTTCTGGACCACCCGGATGATGGTGTTGTCGAAGATGCTCGTGAAAACCCGGATGACAGGGTTCACCAGCCAGTCGGTCAGGATGTTGCCGGTAAGACGCACCCGCAGGCGTCTGCAATACCACAGACGATCACAGATAAGTTTTTTGTTGATAATTCATCATCGTCATCATGATTTCAGCCATAGGAAGTCCACTGCTGAACATAGACCAATGAACTGAACCACTAACCGACGACCTCATAAAGGTAGCAGGAAGGCGCTGGATGCAGGCCGCCACCAACCGGCCATTGTGGAAATCATTAGGGGAGGCCAATGTTCAGCAGTGGACGTCCTATGACTGAAATTATCAACTTACTATTATTATTAGCATAATTATCAACTTACTATCATTATTAGTTTATTTATACTACTGATAATATAATACTAGTCCTATAGTACCTACTCCCAACTTCTACGTTAAAGGACTCGAAGTCTAACATTGCCTTTCCTTTTTTCAGCATTTTTTTCGCGTAAAGTATTTACTTACAACCATAAGGGCAGATTTTTCAATCGTCAGATAACTTTTGACTGAAGAATAAGTTAGGCACATTGACAGTTTTAGTATGGGGAATATGTCAAAATGACAAGGTTTAGTTAAAAGATATAGTTCCAAAATACTGGACTGTCCTGTCGATGACATTGACAGTGGGGCGCCACCGTCAATACCGGATCGCTGGTTCAGATTTTTGCCATGTTGGAAACCATATAGTTGAACGATGGTAGCGCCCCCCTGTCATTGAGTTTGGTGGGACAGTTCAGCGTGGGTCATCTATATCTGACGATTGAAAAATCAGCCCTAAAACAAATAAATGCAATTGAAAGTAAATTATAAACAAAGCCCAACATGACACACCATCCCGCCAACATGTGCATACGAGTATGCACACTTGCACAGCCTATTTATGTAGATTGTAGATGTCTTTTTTTTCTCTGTAGGTACTTACTCTCTTCATTCTTTTATGTTAAAGTAAAAGTAAGTAAAATATTCCTTTTGTCTCTCTAGTGACCGACAAAAGAACAAACGAATATTAATGTAATACTTTCAGGTCATATTAATTATGTGATTTTTATGACTGAACAAAATCGAATAATAAAGAGGCAACTGTAAATATTCAGAAGGTCGATGAAATTTTTTATACTGCGCATTTTATATGAATAACACTTCTGAATCATAAGTTGTATGAAAATACTATGTAAACAGATGTAAAATAAAATTGTGTGTCATTGCCTTTAAAATAACCGGTTAAGTTTCAGTTGGACTCGCGCATTGAGGGTTCCGTACAAACTTAATCTAGGCAGGTGACAAAATAATTTATCTGGGTGCTCTACGTAAAGTTATTATCAACGAAATCACAACATTCGTTTGAATATTTTTGATTGTTTAAAACTTAGATAATGTAATCGGTTAGGTAGAATTAAATATGCCTTTGAATTGCTGATCTAAAGGTGTTATAGATAAAATAAATAAATACCTATCCTTGGACATTAAACACTACGCCATCCAGTCCCAAAATAAACAATGCTTGTACTGTGGACACACTAGATTACATATACTTTTTGTAAAGACCTACAACACAAATCTATGTACGAGTATATTACATAGAAACACCCAGCCCATATAAACAGATAAGTATCACATAGTTATTTTGTGCAGGGATCTAACCCGCGACCTGTCGTGATAGTTCTGTATGCGGGCTAGCGGCAATAAACAGTAGGCATAGTCGTCAGTCACCCAAAAAATCCAAAAAGTTTGCGACGTCTGTTACATTTGGAAAAAGGATGTGTTGTCAACTTTTTGGGCACTTTTGGGTGTCACGAACTATTTGACGTTGACTGTACCTTTAAAGTGTTTACGAATCACGTACGGTAAAGTTTATTTACTTCATTAATTCACAACATACTCCTAGACATCAAATAACAAACAGGAAAAACTACTAACCAGCGTCATTGTCCTGGAGTAACTAGTCTTTCTTACCGTTTTTACCATCAATCCCTAATTTTTAAGTGACCCCTATGAAAACAAAATTCCTGTTATAATTTTATAAAATAAGGGATTGATGATGAAAACGATAACTTAGAAAGTTCTAATACAACTCACCCAATATCAGAAATAGAGAACTCCTGAAGATGAAGCTCATCGTTGTTGAAATCGATCAACAGATCGAATACAATGTTGAAGCGGTTGAGCGAGCCCACAATCCCTCCAGTGGGGCCAAGGTTCATCACCTTCACCAAATACCTGTATATGAACTGAAAAACAAAAGAAAAATTGTTTATCCTAAAAAAAACAAGACAGGTATCTCTAGTAGTTTAAAACCGTGGTCTTAGTCTAGGCGCAGACCACCGATTTGTCGTCGGCCGATAGTTTAATCGTGCAGTTACCTAGGTAATCAGTATAGGCATGTATGGCACTGCGCATATTACACCGATTTGGTATCGGCCGATTCTCCACACATATTAGAATCGGGCCCAACTATCGGCCAACTAAAAGTCGGTGGTCTGCGCCTAGCTTTAGACCGAGAGAATCGTGACTTTTTCGACCCTAGATAGTGGGTATGATTCCCAAGTGAGACACTTTTAATAGTTTGGCGCTTTGTATACCTACATAGTTAAATTATGTATTTTAATTCGATATAGTAGGTACTAACCTCCAAGTCAGTAAACCGGAGCTGGACTCGTACGCGCAGCATGTTGGCAAAGTAGTTGACCCTCTGGTCTCCAGATCGGGCTACGTTCACAAGGCCAGTCATGTAACCGTCGTGGATTTTGAGCCAAGCACTGTATGTGATCAGTACTGGCCTCTGAAAATACAAATGCGAGTATTTAACAACTTAAGTCTTTCCATTTTCATATGTAGAGTCTTCGTGTGAAGAGATACATACAACTTCGAATCCCTCAATGACGTCAGGTAGCTCCATGGGCTCCAGTCCATGGGTTTTCATGAATGGCACGATCATCGAGATAGTATTGTCAACATATTCGTTAACCTCGGCCTGCAAGCCGAGCCCATCCCAGTTTTTGCTGAAACGCATTTATAATTTAAACTACCAACCAAGTGGTAAAAAAGTTATTCAACTGTTTTATGTCACCAACCTTCACACATCAATGAGTGTTAATTAACTCCTTAATAGGGCACACAAGGTTATTCCGTGCTTAAAAGTTATTCTTAATATAAGTAGGTATAAACCGTTTTTATAATGTATAAGATAAATGATCTCTACAAACGAGAATTATTAAAGGTGATTTCCGTTTCATGCATTAAATTAATGAAAGTAAAATCTCTTAGGTATTGAGTACCTACCTAAATACCTACTTAAATGAAAAAATATTTATTCAGTAAGTAGGTATCTTTAAGTTCACATTTTGTTTCAAGTGGCTGGGGTTTCCTTTTAAGTATAACACTTGTGTTAGGATGCTCCTCTCTTTCTTAAAGTTACAAAGGAAAACAATGCTTTTAGTTTTCCTCACTAATGCTCCCACATTGCCGTTAGAAAATGTTTAGTGACATTAGTAAACATTTGTTAGCAAACATTTACCTAATCACAAATGTTAAAAAATGTTTTTTTGTTAGAAAATGTTTAGTATAGGTAGTTAACAAATTATAACAAAATTAAACATGTGTTACCTTTTGTTTGTAAACCTTTTATAAAGGTATATTTTCCTCTAGCTTTAAGCGTTTGGCGCATCCAATAAGAGCGCTTTTTCTTCTTTTTTTAACAAAAAATGAAAGCTATTCCAATGAGCAAATCCTCTTCCATTTTCGTGTAGACGCCCTCAGAACGCTAACCAAACTGCGAGCCAACGCCAGATTTAAATGTTATAAAATGTTAGTAAACATTTTCTATTAGTGTAGGAGCACTTATAACATGTAACAGTTCCTAACAAAATTGTTGGTAAATGTTTTTATGTTAGAAAATGTTTACAAACATTTTCTAACGGCAATGTGGGACCATTACTTAACAAGCTTGCTTACAGGTAAAGTAAGCGTGTATTACATAAATCTAACAATTTCCTGCGTATTTTTTTAAATACTTACCTATCAGCGAGAAACGAAGGCAGCACCTTCGAAAAGGAGCTAGAGTTAGCGTTGGCCAATGCGGCCAGCGCGACCAGAATCACCGCGGTATATTTATTGTTCATCTTTCCACGTAGCGAGCACTTCTCCTCTAGCAGACCATCAAATTAATAATATATACGATACACTATTAAATTGATAATGTTAAAACTAATAACATTATCACACCAGCTGCCCACAATCAACAGATTATATCTTGATTAGAATCTTAATTAACATATTATTATTGTCTACCATAATTTCACAATGTGTTATTTACTCCTGTTTTTATGAAATTAATAACATTCAAAGTCATACGTGACTTTAATTTTTAGATATAGTACTTCATTGTATCTGTAAAACCCTGTATGTGTGGGTGTAAGGACAGAAAAATGTTTTTTTTATTTTATTAAGATTTATTCATTCTGTAAGCTTCTATTTACACCTACACCTTTTCAGTTTTAGCATTGTTGTCATAGCGCCCTTATCAATTCTGCACCTGCTGAATTCGATATTGCAACCTTAGATTATAACAACTGTCTACAGCATTTTTGCGCACGGGTTATGCATAGCTTATTTTTATTGCTTTAATACCTAGAAATAAGAATAACAACAAAAAATTGTTCTGAATTTGCTTTTATTTGTAAAAAATAGAAAAATTCATATCAATGAATGTATGAAACATGAACATAGAGATGATTTAATTTGTTGCCAATTTTTTTTTTTATTTCTTTCTTTCATTCTTTCTAATTATTAAAACATACCAAGCATCCATTTAATATTCATTCTCACAAGAAAAAAATTAAAATAGAGTCCAAATATTTATTAAAAATGTAAAGTTCTAATTTAATGTCATGTTCCATACAAGATTTTTCTCATAAAAATCTAACCCTATCATGCTTTCAGTTTACTGGCCTTGGTAACATCGTCTCTCAAATCCCACTATATTTTGATGAAAGTGTGTCCCTTGTTCTTGCGAATAAGCCCCCATAATTATCTATAAATATATCCCAATGAGAATGAAACGTGCATCTTTAGAGACATTTTACTATGAAGATGGAAAATTCAAATCGCTATAACTCTTTAAAAAGCAAATATTTCCGATTTGTAATCGCACTTTTTTATATAAATTTGCTTATATAATCAGAATATAATAAGTAAAATCCATGCGCAAAAAAAAAAATTTTTTTTGTTGACCGGTGTAATCTATGATTGCAACCTGAATACACACGTTACGATAGGTAGGTACATTGTTTTAAAATGAAATACGTATCTTCACAGGTCAGCTACATTTCCATACAATTCAAGGTAAAATATATTTTTGAACGTCTGTTTTGTATTTATTTATGTATGTGTAACGGAAATCGGAATCACAACGGAAACACATTATGTAGGTATTTAGGTACCTATACGTAATTAACAATGGACAATGTCGAGTAACTGTGCTTCAAGCAATATTTTATTTGCTCTGTCTACGATGAGATTGCACCTTTAATATTCTACAAGGACAGTTATATTTATAAATTAAGATTAGGTATATTAGAGCAAAATAAACCCTATTACAAAAATATAAGATTCCACAAACCCACAAAGTTTTGATGTACATGCTCTGTCGTTCCATTGCGAAGACAATTTGGGAGATTTATAGGAAATTAAGAATTAAAAAAGCGTGTTATTTCCATACAATTTATTCAGAATTGCCATTGCCCATAACCCAACCGACCTCCAAATAAATAAGCATACATTACAGTTCATTACACTAAACGATTCAGTTGTAAACATTAGCTACCGACTTACATTACTTAGTTGTGCTTTGAGCACCAAATAAATAATTACGACAAAGTGCACTTTTATTCAATTCCAGTATGAGTATTAAATGCTATGTTACCAGTTCGAAAAATAAATAAATCATACCTCTTTAAATAAAATTATTTGTACATTGTTAAATAAAAGACCCATGAGAAAAAAAGATGTAGGTAAGTTAATGTTCTAAAAAGCATAGTAAAAAGTGAACGTAAACTTAAATAGATTCGAACTTATCTGTTAAAATCGACCTAAGTACCCCGTTTTTACAAGTTAATTTAATACACTTAATTAAGTATGATAATTTATTCGAACGGAAAAAACATTCTAGTCTATATAAAACTGATGACATCACATTTGGTCTTGCATTGTCATTTAAAATTAAAACAATGTATATTCACCGTTAGGTATTAGGTACATAACTTTTTACACCTTACAAACACTACCTGGTAGTGGCAGAATTGATGCCACCTTATTTTGAACCTTAGTAACATAAGGTTCAAAACAAAAAATCCTTATATGTACCAGAGGGTTAAGAGATACATTGAACTATTTCATTGTACTTTAATTAAAAGCCGTAAGATTCACATTAAATGTACAAAGTCTGGCAAGGGTCGACTGTTTTATTCGTAATTAATTTACGGAGACTCGAGACATCCAAAAGTGGTTAATATCTTAAGATTGTCCGGAATATTTCGGTGAAGAAGTGTCATTCATTTTGATTTTATTTTTGGACCGAAGGAAAACTGACTTTTTCAGGATTAAAGATTTAGAAATAAAGAAGAAATTATAGATTTCAAGAAGTAATAGGTTCTTAAAAGTACTAAATGAGCATGTTTACATGATCCTATTGTCAAGTTAAGGTAATAGGCTAGTTTCCTAAAAAAATTTTTTTAGTCCGTCATTTTTAATATCAAAAAATATTGGACACATATATTTTTATTTGTCAATCTAACAAATAATTACATAGTTATGGTGCGTTGAAGTACCGCACGACGTCACAATAGAGGTGGGCGCCACGCCGGCGCGCCGCCGCCGCCGCGAATTTTTTCACGCCGCCGCCGCCGACGACCAGCTATCGGCGCGCCGATATTTATACTGTACAAACTATTTGAAATTTATTCCTCTGCTATACTGTACTAATTTGTGTTTCAAACGCAAAAGAACTATTTTTTTATTGAGTTGAGCGGCTATTCTTGTTCAATAAAGTCCTAGTATCACTGCGACCGGTACCGATCTATTGTGATCGCCGCTATTTTCCTTACAGTTCGCCTCCGAGTCCTGCGTCCATTAGGAATGCAGTATCTTTTGGGGGGCTTAGGGTGTGTTTGCCCAGGTGTAAGCTCCGCTTGCGCATTAATGGTCCGCAGTCCGTGAGAATGTGTAGTGGCGTTTCATCTGCCTCTTGGCACATCCTGCACGTTCTTGATTCGGATAGTCCCATAGTGGACAAGGGCTTGTTTAAGCTGCTGTGTCTAGTGAAGGCTCGAACTAAGATGCACATTTTGATCCTACTCAGTCCTATGATCTGCTTAGAGCATTTTCGGTCATAGGCTTTTATAAGAGGTTTGGAATGAGTTAATCCTAGCATGTCTGACCATGCCTTAAAGGATTCGTTTAAACAGATGTTCTCCAGGGTCAGTCGAGCGAGACTTTTGGGAATGCCACAAAAGGGTTCTGGACCATATTGGGTTCCCTCCGCTCCCGCTCTGGCCAGTTCATCGGAATTTTCATTGTCCACGATTCCCGCGTGACCTGGAACCCATTTCAGCGTTACTCTGTTACGTTTTCCTAGGGTATTCAGTCGACTCATGCAGTTTTCTACCAACTTTGAAATGATTAAGTTGGAGTTTAAGGCCAGCAGCGCGGCCTGACTGTCTGAGTTAATGTAAATTATGTGGTTGGCATAATTTTTTTGCAGGTTAGCTTCCGCACATTCATTAATGTCGTAGACTTCTGAGAGATAGAGGCATATTTACCCAGGCTTTGAGATAGCCTAAGTTTCGGCTGCTCTCCATACACGCCAAAGCCTACTTTCTTCTTAATCGGTCTTACTCTTGTCAGAGTGGTCGTGGTTGCGCTGACGAGGTACATGGTGGGGGTGGAGGATGGAGGTACAATTTATATGTTTATGCCATATAAATTGGTACACAAGGCAAACTTAATGCCGTTGATATACTAATAATTGATTGAATAACTTAATACTAACTATATTAACAGTTAATCAAGTACATTATTCAAGTTACTGCTTGGTCTAGTAAATAATTGAGCGCGAGAGGCGCCGGTCCCTCTTGCTGTCAAGAAAAAAATCCCCGCCTTCGTCTGGCAGATAACCCACACTATTTTACTATACTTTAAGCGAATCACTCACACAGAGATTAACAAATATGTCTCGGAATGCAAATGGGAACCACAACCTCTGGAAGGCAACAAAGTACCTCCCTCAAAGTGTTCTCCGCTTACACAACACAATCTCCCGCCATTCTAGGTGCTGTGCTGCCAAACCTTCCCATTGTGATTTGAGAGGGCTCATTTGGCATCTTTTCGTATGCTGCTTCTGGACATCTTAGTACTTGACTATCTGAGGAGTTGACCGCCATGTTTCCGCTTACCCTCCTCAAGTTCAAAGTAGAAGATTGATTCCTACTACGCTAATTGAGGACGAAAGACGCAGGAGGACAAAGTGACTGACATAGCCCACAGAATCGCTAAAATCAAGTGGCAGTGGGCGGGGCACATATCTCGTAGAGCTGATGGCCGCTGGGGCAGTAAAGTTTTTGAGTGGCGACCACGAGCCGGAAGACGTAGCGTGGGCAGGCCTCCCACTAGGTGGACCGACGATTTGGAGAAGGTCGCAGGAAGTGCCTGCATGTGAGCGGCGCAGGACGTCTCTCAGCTGAAACGAAAGAACTAACGCTATGAGAGATGGCTAAGCTAAAGAAATAGCCAAAATGGACCCTCGTAAAGCACTTGCATTTGATCTGATCACCATGAAGTCCATGGTCTTGACAATGACCACACTGAGTGAGAAGAACCTCGCAAGTCTCTTAACTTTGGAAATGATCCATAAGGCTGGCAAGTCGCCTAACGAATTCTCTTATCGCTCAATTAATCTGACATTTGTACTGTATGGAAAAGGATCATTCTTGCTCGTTTATTCTCTTGCCTAAGTATGACCCATGTAATACAGTATATCCGACCAGAAATTTTGGCAGAAACCATACCAACCATAATGAGTACAATGTTTGAAAAAGAAAGAATCCTGTACGTCTGCTTTCGCTGCGGCTTCAGCTGGGTTTATTATAAAGGACTACTACCTGCTGATGGATTCTTATCTCAGTGACAGACAGTTTTAAATCAAACTCGGTGACAAAATCTTCTCTTTTTAGCTGCAGAGCTGGAGTACCCCAGGACTCTGTACTTGGTCCGATACTCTATAACATCTACTAGTAAAGTAGCCCAGACACCAGAAAGCTGAGGCATTCCTCAAATGTAACTGTGATCTTAAAGTGACTAGACTGTTGCAATGTCAGCTGCTTGGCTGACCAAGTGGCGCATGTAATTAAGCCCCGAAGTCTCACCATATTATCATTTAAGACGTGAAACTTATCCTCCGGCCAATCTAGACCTCGACACATTGCTGCAATCAACCTGCATTAAAATCCTGGACCGTAGGATGACATGGAAAGACCATAAATATAAATAAAACAGAACTGAATATAATATTCCACCGACAGTCAGCTAATCCAACATTAACTATGTGCCTCCAAAGAGCTCAAAAATACATGTTAAGGGTACTTTTATCGGCACATTGGTACGCTCGCCTTTAGGAAATACACGAGAACTTGATCTCAGCCAAACTCACTATCCAAATATCAAAGTATCTATGATCAAGAGAGCTAATTTACTAGGGTAAACCACTGCTTTAGTGGCTCAAACCCCAATCAACTGCAAATCACCTGATTAGTCTTGACGACAGATACTAAAAAAGCAGATTAAAAAAAAAACCTAATGAACAATGGTCAAACAAGGTCACGCCGCCGACGCCGCCGCCGCCGAGGTCAAAAAGTCGGCGCGCCGCCGCCGGCCAATTTTATATCGGCGCCCACCTCTACGTCACAACGTGCGGCACTTTTATGCAAGCATTGACGTCAAGAAGAGGCCCGCTTCTTATGAACTTTGGCGCGCTTTATCTCTTTAAATTTTCATTAGTTTGAAAAAGTGAAAAATACGTGTAGAGTATTTTTTGATAAGTTAACTGACGGACTAATTAAAACTGTTGCTTTTTGACCCAGGAAACATCCCTATTGAGTAGTGAGATGTGCAAAATATGTCCCATTTAAAGAAAAAAGATAACAAATCTCTCAACTACTTTGTTTTCTTTGTGTCATCACCCAACACTTTTCTCCTCTGTTTCAACATATGCCCGAAGAGGTACGGGAACAGTGGGAAATACATAAACATGTAGAAGTACATGAAATAGTAGAAATTGAATGCAACATTCCAGTCGTTGGGGAATGAAACAGTGTACAATTTCTTTTCAACGATTTCATCCAGCGAATGATACATACAGAGAATTTCTCCGGTCACGCCGAGTGGATACAGTATCAAAAACGTTGAGTATCTGAAACAAAAACAAAAGAAGGTATACAAAATGTAGGATTAAAATTTGCTAATTAACGTTAGTTAATATTTAATTAATTTTCGGCAACGCCCACTCTAATTTCTGACCCAAAAAGTTGTACAAGGAAAAAATGTGTTAATTGATTATTTTTTGTGTCTATGAGCAATAAAGTTTCAAATTAATAAATTGCCCCTATACATTCATAATATCTCATCAAATCTAAAAAAAATACTGTACTGATTTAATTCTTAACTACCAAACAAAATTCAACATTACCTTGATTTTGCGATACTTTAGCGAAGTTTAATGAATAAATGATTATGCTACTCTCAAATTGACGCAGTTTTTTGGTTTGGTTTGGTGTAGTTACTAGTCGCTTGTAAATTGTAAATTCAGTTATTTATTATCATGTAAAAACGACGCGCGGTATGTCAAGCAAACTGCGTCATCACCACAGAACCACAGTAGATTTCATTAAGTATTCATGTTTACCTACACAAAAGTCATGGTCATTGCTCGATTATACTTTACAATCTAAATAAACATATTGGTTAAATTACTTATCCGTAAATGCTTAAGTTGCTATGCAAAGAGTATTAGGACTTGCTAATCTAGCAATCTAAATGCTTAGTAGAACCAGGCCTGTTCATCTCCGCGAGTTTACATCGAAAACCAAACACGCTCGATGGCCCACCTACAGGATACTATTCGACAAGGCCTCACATACGAGCGAACATTGACTCACGCACGCGTATTCTTGTGTATGATGGAAGAAAATAAAGAACATGGTGTACTAAATACTGTGCAGTATTTAACTGCCTAAATAATAATAAAAACACAGAATGTACTTTTTTAAGTTGCCTCAAGACACTGAGAGGTAAATAAGTAGTTAATATTATTCATGATAATTCATGCTAAATCATGTATTTCCTCCGCCATTTTCCGCAGTTTGGCACCTCACGTCACATCATTTTACCGAAGTCAGCCCTATAGCTTCGGCGCAGTGCCGATCACTGACGTTTGTCAACAAAATGGTGCTTGACTCTTGAGACAGGCTAAATTACACCATATTGTTAATGACATTGAGCATACATTTTTTTAAATACCTATTGTGTCAGGGTTTGTTTACTTCATTTATAGTTGTAGTTTTACAGTAAAACAAAAAGAAAAAGCTACTTTAACGGTTTCATTATATAACAGTAAATATATTTAAATGTTTCTGTATCGCTAGTAATAAATTAAATATCGTTTTCAGATCGAAATGAGTATCGTTTTGAAGACCGGGTTTGTGAGAGTTACAATATCAAATTCCAACCACAAACCGTATTTAAAGGAAAGTTGTTGGTATTGGCTGGACAAGTCCGAGATGTAGAAGAATTAAGAACAAAACAAGGGCAGAGTTCAATAATTCACGCTCTCATCATAAGGCAAACATCTGTGCACAACAACTACTGTGACTCATTTTTGTACTACCACGTTGTATAGTTTAGTTATTTCCAAATTGTAAACGGCTATTAAAACAGCCCTATCGAAATACAGTCCACTCTTTTATTTAAGTTCCCAGTAGGACCCTTTTCATGCGATTAATTAATGATATTAAAATGTATTATGTAGAATCGCTTTGCCATTGACAGATACATCTGATGACAGAGCTTACATTATTTCTACTTTTGACCACCATGAGCGCTGCGATAGATTATGTCCCCCCCCACCTAGTACTTCGCACCCAGCGAATACTACAAGCACAGTCAAAATAGAGGAAACTAGGCAGACGGCATCTGATAATGGTAATCTTTTTGAGCTAAAGTCCGGTCGCCACACACACTGCAGCCGCCCGTCACACAGTCGCGACAGCAATATAATTACTAGAGATGAAACGGATATCCGGTAACTATCCGGTAGGCCGGATATCCGGCCTAAATTTACTATCCGGCCGGATACCGGATAGTAACTCACTATCCGGCCGGATACCGGATATTAAAAAACTACAAAATTTTCCTATTAATAAAATGAAATACATTAATCTTTGAGGTAAATATCAATAAAATGGGTTATAATAATGACGGCTTTTATTTTAAGTTCAAAAAGTTACAAAAAAGCTATATTAAGGCCTTTCAAAAAACTAATTTCTTTTTCTGAGCTATTCACTCTAATGATGAATACATAAATAGTAAATATCTGTTAATGTCGAAATATTACCAAATAAAATAGGCGATCTTTTTTCACTAATGGTCTGATGACATGATGCAGTTCAGTCAGATTACGCAGCAAGTAAACTAATTTAATTTTCGCTATTCAATCACACACTCACGATGGCAACCGAAACTGCCCCAATTGATCTGCCCCCTAGACAAGTGGCTAAATCTGTCATTCTATTCGGACGGATTCGATTTTCGTAAAGTGTGACTTGTCTAGTCTACTAATAGACCCACTGATCGCGTCCGAAGTACCTGAGCGGCGCTAAATTCGTCACGACATGCAACGAGACAATGGGCCAACTATCCGGCCGCCGGATATCCGGCTATCCGGCCGAGCAGCTGGCCGGATATCCGGTATCCGGTATCCGGCCAAACAACTATCCGTTTCATCCCAACTAATATTATAAATGCGAAAGTAACTCTGTCTGTCTGTCTGTCTGTTACGCTTTCCCGCTTAAACCTCGCAACCGATTTTGATGAAATTTGGCATAGAGATAGTTTGAGTCCCGGGAAAGAACATAGGATAGTTTTTATCCCGGTTTTTGAAACAGGGACGCGCGCGATAAAGTTTTTCTGTGACAGACCAAACTCCACGCGGGCGAAGCCGCGGGCGGAAAGCTAGTCTCTAATAATTACGCACGAGCAATTTGGATGGGTAGCTTGGGGTCATTGGACGAAATTCTATGTGTTCGGCGACCGGACTTTATAATTCAACTTTGGTGTATAGGTAACACTCATTTAAATAAAACAAACATTTATTATTTGTTTATTCTTAATATGTTAACTTTCATTTTGCTTTTTTAGGGTTCCGTAGTCCTGACAAGGAACCCTTATAGTTTCGATATGTCTGTCTGTCCGAGGTTTTGCTTGGAAACTATTGGTACTAGAGAGCCGTAATTTTGCGGTGGTATGTATATTAATATCGCCGACAAAACGGTAAAATATTTTTTTTTTTTTAATTTTTTAGGATAGCTCTCCTACATGTAGTGGGGATGAAATTTTTTTTCATCTTTTAAAATGGCATAGGGGTTTCTAAGACTATTTTTACATTTAGGGATCTGTTTGCAAATTATTAAAGTTTAAAGTGCCAATTTTTGTTCGAATAGTGCGTCCCCCCCCCCCTCTAAAATCTAAACTGTTGACATTAAAAATCTGAAAAATTCGTAATGATACTGCTTTTCATGAACTTTCAAGGAAAACTATAGTGGTTAAGATACGTCAGTTAAGAGTAATAGTCATTTAACTCATGTATTATAAAATTTCTTAACTAGTGAAAATTTCTTCGAAGAAAATCTTAAAAGTGACTTTAGATGAAGTAATTGCTTGCTTCTGAAATATATTGTGTTAACGGCGGACAACTACGGAACCCTACACTGCGCGTGGCACTTCACGCACTTGGCTATTTTTTTAAATAAATTCTTACTATTATTGTATAAACCTTCAATGTAACTTGTTTGTGTTATTTGCCAATAGGCGAAAAGCTGTACCGCGGTGTCTTATTTAAACCTAAATAGGAGTCCCATAAGTGCGCCGAGGTTTCCGTGGTTTATTAATGGTCCTTCGAGCCGGATTGTGATTTGCTATTTTAACGTTAAATTTTGTTTTAATGAGACCCGAACCCACGACCTTTCGCTGACAAAGTCAGTTCGTCTATTGGCGCAAGTACACTATGCGGGAAATTGGCCAGTATTTTGTACAAATAGAAAAAAAAATCTCACCTTAAATACGAGAGCGTTTGTGGGACGGCGTTGATGAGATTCAGTCCGTAGAACGCATAACGCACTATTTCAGTGATGGACCAGGCCAGAATACAGAGCGGCAGGCCGGGACTGACAGTGGCACTGTGTAACGCCATCAGGATAGCGAACACCAGGAACACCCTCGAGTGCACCTGCATCGTCACCACCAGGATGCCAGACGAAACTAGGCCCAGTAGCGAGTGAAGTATCTGGAAAAAACAAAGATAAATGTTTATCCAGGGGCGTAGATACGGGGCTCTCAGGCTAAAAAAGGGGGCCCCTTTATCCTTATTAACCCTTTTTTAGATGAGAGGAAGAAACAAATTTTGATACAGAGCCCGTCTTGAGTTGCGCACGCTACACGCACCATTAAATTGAGTTGATACCATAATTATCATATTTTTTTAAACAGTTTCGAAAACGGAGTTTTTAATTTGTTGCAAATTAATATTTTTAGTCTAACAGAACTAGTAATGTCGTCATAATTTCTTTTTTGCCTTACAAAATCCATGGGAGCTATACATATTTTTGACAACAAATAAAAAGTATGCCATTTGATCATAACTATTTAGTAACTAGGTAACTGTTCAAGTTTTCGTTACTGCTAATTATTAATGGAAACTATAAGCCGATTTGGAAACCACATTTTTTTTTTAAATCTAAGGATTCTGAAGGTTGCGTATTTTGGACCAATAAATTATTTTTCTTTCTTTCTATTGCGTGCCAGAGACCTACTTATTATTTTATAAAACTTAGCTCTTTTATCTTTTTACTTGTTACCTAACCTATTTACTTACACGATTAGTAAAATGATATGAGCGAGTTAACAAACAAAAACAACTAAGGACTTAGACAACGTAACATTCATGGAGTTTATTACGAAATAACTTCACAGAATCACATAACGAAGTAGGTAGGTACCTACATACCTACTAAATAACTACACAAACGAGTCTTAGTAGTATCCGACTGTTAGTCATAGAGACTTGTTACATAAAGTTAAACATCCCTTGTAGTACTTGTTTATTTGTCATTTAGTATGGAAATGACATTTTAACCAATGTTCATTCAACGTTTGTTTAACTTTTTTGTAAGGCCTTTACTTTTCAATTATTTACTTGTCATTTTTTACTTACATTTTTTTAACATTGCAAGATGGCTATACCCATTCATTAAGGTGATATACCTACCTACTTAACAGTTTTCTGGTTAAAGTTGTTGTTGTCATTATTATCATATATTAACATTATCATTTAAATTTCATGAGCTTCTTGTAGAATTCATTATCATGTCTTGTGATCACTATGTAATATTTTAAAATTTCTACTATTATTTACTCAAAATATTAACGAAATATTACTTTTGTGTATTTATATGGATTTTAGAAACTAAGTAATTTAGGTACAAATCACGTCACGTAAACAAGCGAGCGCTCACGTGTGCCTCTCGTGGTCTAATATAAATAATTAATTTTATTTATTTTGTTTGAGTCTCAAAAAACATTTGTAGTCAAAAGCTCAAAAAATTCAAAACTTCAAAAAATTTACCTTGCTAAATGTATAAAGTAAAACATCGCAAAAATGAACTCAGATTTTGCACCTTATGTGACATCACGAAATTTAAAACTCGATCGTCATAATTTATGGATGCTCTTTATGATTGTTTAATTATTTTAATGTTATTTATTATTATAATCGAACCCTAAAAAATCATCGAACGTGAGCTAATAGGACAAACATGATTGTAATGTAATGTTGCTTTCTATCTCACTTTTTTGTGTCGATAGTTTAATCCGTTGGAGGGCGTTGATCCCTGCGACACAGTTTTATACTTCTGCAGGGGTCATCGTTTTTTCATGTATTATGTACCCTTGTACTACAATACGAAATAAATAAATAAATAAATCCTACTATTAATAATATTACTGATTGGAACGTTTGCGAGGATGGCGATTTTCAATCAAACTTGATTGTGACATAACTCACAACATTCCGCTAATACCAATCCGATAAAAAAGAGAATCAAATTGGCTCAATTTGGAATTTTGGATTTCCGGTTTTAGTAACAAGTTTGTGATCAAGCGTCTGCAAAAACAATAATATCTGTTTACAACAAAAAATATTTTAAAAATCTATTTGTATAGTAGGACTTAACGTATACTCGAACTTTTAAATGATTTTAATCTGACTCATAAATCCTATAGTAATGGGTAAGTTCTTAACTAATTAATTAATTAATCAATTCAAATGATTAATCTCTATTTAAATTGTATGTATTATTAATTTAGCTAGGATAAGCAACTTACCTCCAAAATGGCACCTCCCTGGAATATATATAACGTCCATTTGATCTCGTCCCAATAAGCGTCTAAGGTCCCACGGTTCAGGAAGTATACGAGGGACTGCCATAATAAATAGGACCATCTGAAAAACGAAAGACATCATTTCAAAGATTATTTTAGTCTCTCGCCTTATGCTTTAGAAGGACTCTACATACCTACCAACCCCGCCGACAGCCCGGCGGCTTGGTATAGGCGACATTATTTCAAAAGAATCATGACGCGACGACTTGTACTCTCTATGACTTTTGACAACATATCGAGAGTCTACCGTCCATTTCAAAATAACATTTTCGTAGGTATACCAAAAATTATCAAAACAAAACCTTATTTAGGGCCCCCAAGAAACTTTAATACAGGGTCCATCATAGGCATACTACGCCACTGAGGATACTGAAATATACAAGGTGTTTGGTAGAACGTTAGACAAACTTCGTGGGTGTATATGTAAGGATAATTTTTGTATTATTATTCTAAGGCATGTATTTAAATGATCTTTTTAAATTAGCAAAAACGGCAAATAAAAAAATCTAAATGGTCATCTATTTTAATGATTGATCCTCTTTCTTTGATACATAAAATAAATGAAATCGATCGATATTTAAACCTCTTTTGAACTACGCAAAAAAAAATTGAGATGTAAAAATTATATCTGATCGTTACTTGTTGGTCCTCAAAAATAAAAGAAATGAGCACCAAATATTCAATATTGTGATACTTTTTTAAATAATTCGATTTGTATAAATTATTTTTTGTCTATATCAAATAATCTTCAAAATAATTATGTTATGGTACTTATTTTTATTAATTAGTAGTTAAAGGATGGAAACTATTTAAAGGCACTTGATGTTCAAAGATTTATTTTTTATTAAAAAAGCAAGTTCACACTGCGTTATCGGGTCGAATTGACCTTAGGTGCTGGATGCGTTGGTGCGGGATGGATATATTCGGTCTTTTTAGTAGTACGAAAGATAAATATTGTTTTGCAATTGTTTCGTCAAACACAGTAAATATTTGGAAAAAAAAAACTTATCAGGTCCTTACGACCCGATGTCGCACTAAAAGTAAACAAATATCGTTTAGTGCTTTTATCGTGTCTAAGCAACCCGTTGACAGATGACTTTATTATGGTCACTGATCACGGTCGAGATCGGTATACTAAGAGAAAATCAACCTTGCGATTTGAAAACAAAATAAAGAGGTAAAAATTATGATGTCGGGTTCAGGGATGTCAGAAGTAAGAAATTATTTTACATAGCGCCTCTAGTCCCAAACTAAGCAAAGCTAGTAATTTAAACAAACATGGCAATGTACCATTCTGCTTGCTTATTGGCCGCTAAGCCCATGGCCAACTCAGTGACCAATGACGGACGATTGTCACTCAACCACAAAGTACCGAGTAAATTAAATATTAACCAATAATATTTTTAGTTAGATCAAATATATTTTAAAGTTAAGTTATACATAGATCGAAATGTATTTATTAGGTGATCAATATTAAAAGGCAAACTTGATATAAATATCATCAAATTAACAAAATTAAAGATCAATAACTAAAAAAGAGGATCAAATATTATTTTTGTTTACCAAATATTAAAAGAGTATGTTAAACATAAATATTATGTTACCTTAAATGAAGATCATTCATAATTTATCCGTAGATCAACTAATATAGACCCAATAATTAATATAAAGATAAAATTATAATAAAATACATAATTTTTTTTTAAAAGTGCACATACAAAAAAGATCAATTAGTTTTTAGAGGATCAAATAATATTGTCCCTTATTCTAATTACTTCCATAAACTTTGATTTTTTGACGAATTTCAATTATAATTACTAGGTACTCACATGCGATATATCATTGGAAAGAAGAGAAGCTAGAGAAATTTTTAAGATCATTGGCAGTCCATTATCACCATTCTTTTTTTTTTAAATCGAATTCTAAGTTGATTTTTTTTATCGTGGTTTGTACTTTTGTTAAACTTTGCTCGGCTGGATCCGAAAATTTATTTTATTTGACTGCTTAAAGACAATTCGATATTAATACCAAATAAAAAATCTATTGAAAACACGCGAGGATAAAAATTGAAGAAGTTTTTAGGTCAAATTTTGGAAAAATAAATTAAATAAAAACAAAAATATACACTCGAATAACCCTCCAACTGGCGCAGTCGGGTAAAAAGTAGCTTACTTAGGGTCAAATGGGAGAATTTGTGTTTTTAAATTGACCTTACCTATAGAAGTTTGACTAACGTTCTACCAGACACCCTGTATAATACTCAATTTTTATAACTAACCAAAAGTGTACAATACATACAACATTTTCATGTTAATGTAAAATTTTATTGGACAAAATTGTTGTGGAATAGGTAAAGTCAGTTATCTGTATTACAGTCATGCTTAAGTCACACTATTGGACAGTCTGCACATAAACATTACTGTATAACGACGTCTGTCCTTACAAAGTACAGATATAAATTGATTAGATGATTTGATAAATCAACTAATACAGTGTGAGTCTTGATAAAGTGCCCACGCAGAGGTCCCGGGTTCGATTCCCAGTGGGGGCAGATTTTTCTATTCGGCTTGGCTGGTGGTAGGGCTTGTTCTAAGTCCACCTGGCTAGGTACCACCATCTTACCTGGCCAAGAGCTTCCTCGTTGTGGATTAAAAAAACTTATGAAAATAGGTGAAACTAGACCTATTTTTATCGACGGAAAAAATTACAAAAAAAAAGATTTTTTTTTTTATTTTATACATTTTCTTTCAATTACTTATTATTTAGCATTATTACTGTTTTTATTTTATCAGGATACTCTTAGTTTAAAGGTAATTAAGTTTTCTTTACAATAAGGAATTGAAAGAAAAAAAATCAATAACTTTTTTTTTAAATCTTAGACATTTTTTGGCATTTTTTCCGTCGATAAAAATAGGTCTAGTTTCACCTATTTTCATTATGTTCACTTTATCAAGACACACTGTATTTAGAGTTGTTTAGTAAACAAGCTACCTATTAAATTATTTTTTACCTACACTACACATAGCACAAAAACCCAGGCCATTCCAATAAAAAATACAAGAATTAGGGTGAAAGTTCCACTAGTTGACCATTTAAGCGGGTTAAATGCATAGAAAAACTTCATTATTTTGTGGTAGGTTATTATTTTAAAATGTTGGTCAGGTGTTGGTGTGTGGTCAACTAGTGGTACTTTCACCCTATTCAAAAAAATATTATTTTTCTGTTTTTTTTATTCAAACTTACCCTAAAGTTTGTAAAAAATTGTACGCCAGTAGATATGATTTTCCAATTGCCGAAGGTCCTGAACGCCTAACTGTTTTCTTTGCAGTTTTTTCCGACATAGTGGCTCTTGGTGATTTCTAAAATTGGAGCAAATTTTATAAAATTAAAAAAAAAAAGATATAACTTGATAAAATATAAAATAAACTTGATATGAGAACACTTACTTTTACAACGTATTTGAAAACAACATAAATTATAAAAATAAGCAAAGTTACAACTCGACCTTGCGTACGTCAGCCTGTGTGCGATAAACACCTAAACAGCGCTTGGCGCTGCTTGCTTCGGCCAGGGTACGGAAACTTCCATACTACGATCAAACTTGCTTCCAAACAGCGACTTCAGTTGATAAATTCCAATACTTTTTTTTTTTCTTTATGGCTCTCGCGGATTGCGTTTAGCCACGACAGGGTTCTTGATTTTTGCGTTCAGTTTTGCCATAAGTTTTGCGGACATTGCGTTTAGACAGGGTGGGATTGGGTTAAAGTTAAAAGGTAGGGAAACGAATCAATTACGGATGGAAACGGAACAAAGGATGGTTTTCATAGGATCAATTTAGGTGTGATATAATTACAAAATAATAAAAATAAAATAATATTTACATAAGTACAATATACATTACTATTTACAATTTTATATTATTATGGGTAATAAATTCGGCTAGGATATTATAAACATCAATGTTATTGGTATATAATAGGCAAGTGATGGATGTAGGAAAAGGAATTTTAATGGCTAAAAGAGAACTAATAAAAGAGGAACGATCATATAGGCAACAGTAAAAAAATATGTGATTTAAGTCTCCGACGCCAGAACCACAAATGCACGAATCATTATCAAGTACATGAATTTTAGCCAAGTGTGCTGGAGTGCACACGTGACCAAGTCGCATTCTAGTTAAAATGGTAGTAACTGTTTTGGAAAGATTCATTTTAACAAACCATGGTTTACAAAGGATGGATGGTTGAATGAGCTTGTAATGTTTCCCCTTAGATTGGCTAGTGAACTCCCAATTCTCATCCCAGGCAGATTTGAGATAAGCTTTGGGAAGGGCTGCCGTTAAGTCATGGCAATAATTTGTGTACGGATGTATAT